TTTGTCACTTTGTGCCTGGAGTGAGCCAGGAATCATAGAATCATAGATTCATTTAGGTCGAAAAAGACCCTTAATATCTTTGAGTCCAACCGTTAATGGTGGACTTGGCAGAGCTACATTAAACCATGTCCCTAAGTGCCACATATACACGACTTTTAAATACCTTCAGGGATGGGGACTCAACCACTTCCCTGGGCAGCCTGTTCCAATGCTTGACAACCCTTCCAGTGAAGAAATTTTTCCTAATATCCAAACTAAATCTTCCCTGGCACAACTTGAGGCCATTTCCTCTTGTCCTATTGCTTGTTACTTGGGAGAAGAGACCAACCCCCACCTCACTACAACCTCCTTTCAGGTAGTTGTAGAGAGCTATAAGGTGTCCCCTCAGCCTCCTTTTCTCCAGGCTAAACAACCCCAGTTCCCACAGCCGTTCCTCCTAAGACTTGTTCTCTAGAACCTTCATTGGCTTTGTTGCCCTTCTCTGGACATGCTCCAGCACCTCAATGTCTTTCTTGACGGGGCCCAAAACTGAACACAGTATTCAAGGTTGGGCCTCACCAGTGCCAAATACAAAGGAAGGGCTTACTGAGTTGCTTACGTATGAAATATGAATTACCCATGGTAAGTTCAGAGCCACATGGTGTTAAAATTTTCTGTTCTGCATGTCAGTTTGTATGATAGTTGTGAAAGGTCAAAATATTACTACTTTACTACTAATACTTTCCTAAAAATTCTTTGAGAATTTAAAATCATAGTACTGTCATGAAGGCTTTCTCTTGTTACAATTAAACCTTTCTTTAACTACTACATAGGATTATATCACTGAGAGATGCTAGGACACATTTAAAATCACTAGGTCTGAGTATAGGCTGAGAGAGGGTAGTTATACTTGTTAATTTATCATTTATTGAGATTTACTGTTTTGTGGAAAGAACATGTAAAACACTTAGATTTGTTTTCTGTGGCAGCAAGTAATTTTCTGCAATGGATACTTTGTACTACAGAAACAATTGTATTTATATATATTATATATGTAAAAAAAATGCATTTCCAAATATGTGTGTATACATATATGTAATATGCATGCTATACACGTGCTCACCTATATAATTAACAACCAGATAGCAGAACACAGGATTGTTATTAAAGAAATAAAAATTATGTGCACGTATATTTGCAAATACACAGAAATATTATTTATCTATGTCATAAATACATGCTTTACAGTTTGAGCTGAAGAAAAGAATTAACACATTATGACTCTGCATGTCTGTACTGATGTATGCTTTGCCATGTTGTTGACCATGCTTATCTGCATGATCTTGAATATCTGGTGACCAAGGGGCTGAAAATCAAGTAGAATTAAAATATATTTCCATCCTTCTATTGAAGATAGTATGAATTTATTTATATGTATGTCACAGTGATGAAGAAAATATAAGACTAAATTCTTCTCTGCTATAACATCCAAACAAAAGCTTTCCAGAGCAGAACCCTCAACTTGCCTTTATTTAATGCCATAACCCAATTACTTGCGCTCTCCCATCTCCCCCACTCCAGCCACTTCTTTACTATCCTTGTATTTCAAAGAAAAGATGATCAGCATCAAGGATAACCCTGTGGGCTTCCTAGAACAATAAACTGAGAGTAAGACTAGAAACTTGGCTTTGCTTGAATTATTTGCATGTACAAAGTTCTTCAGGAATGCGTGTCTCTACAGGTTTGGAGCCTCCTTAGGGTTCAATTTTCAATATTTCAAATTTTCAAGATTTTACGTGTCCAGGTCAATTTTGGGGGGTACCCTGTAAAATGCTTCAGTAGAAGCATTTTAGCAGAAGCAGAAGAAAACATCAGTACTTCAGCATCTCCTTTGTACTCAAGTTATGGGAAAACATCTTGGAAAGCATCCATCTTGTGATAGATTTTTCTTTTTGAACCCTAAGGTGTCTGTTACCTCATTCCAGTGTAAGTTTTCCGTGAGACATACTTGTCTCATTATTTGACATTGTTACATAGGGGATATCTTAACAATAGTGGACCACAGCAATAACCCCCTGTAGTTTTAATGCCTATTGGATTTTCTACCTTTTTTTTTGATAGAAAGACTTTTCTGCTACAGTTTAGAGAAATTGTAAGGCTTTTAGAAACAAAACCAGCATCACATTTGCAGACAAAAGTGATTTCATTCTTGTTCATTTCAAATGGATTAGAAAATATTGTCCAAATTGGGCATCATGCCAAGATTGCCATTAACTTTTCCCATAAAATATGATTAAGGACCTTAACAAGCATTTTGTAATTAAGTGAAGTGCTTTGGAAATTTATATGCTGTCCACAGTTTGTCATGTTCTGTAAAATACTGAAGACAGTTTTTATGAAAAGCAATAAAAATAAAGCACTTGAGAAACATCTGGGAGTGTTATCTGATTGGGGGGGAATAGTTTCATTTGTAACAGGATATTTTGATATTTAAAATTAGTGTTGTGTATAGATGATTTTTGTTTGTTCTTTAGGTTAATGAATAATTGACTGAATTAGTGGAGTAATTCCTGTAATTGTATATCCCATCCTAGTGTCCATGTTGCTTCATTTTGTACCCTGAGTTGATTATTTTCTGTGTACTCCATTAATGTGTGTACTGTTCTGTATTTGCTTTCTGGTTTCATTTAATGCAGCTGAATTTGCTGAAATAACAGTCCAAAGAGAATGGGAGTGCTGAGCAGACTCTGAATGAAGCAGATTTTCCTGTGGCATGGCAGGACAAAACATATAGGCTTTCAGTCTGATAATGTTCAGTGGATGGCAGAGTGATGCTTTGTTTTTTAGCTTTGCTAACAAAGAAAAAGGTTGGTCTGTTGCTGCTGAGGTAGCTTTTATGTGCAGTGGCCACTCAAAGTGATTTATGAGTAATTTTCTCTGCAAACCTCTTTTCCTTCCAATAGTCTCCAGCTTCCTTTGACACAGTACATTATGGATCATGCAACGGGCTTAATGGACTAACAGAACTAGATTGGCTTTACTGTGCTTTTTGAGGGGATTAATTCAAACCTTAAATGTGGGGGAAGATGCTTTTCAAAACTGCAGAGTTATGGGAAGCAAAATCTACGAGAATTAAAGGTGGCTGGATTTTTTTATCAGCTCAGTAATTCCGGATTATTGAAGAATAAAAGGCTATTCAAATCTGCGGTCTGCACCCCTGCCCTGCAAAGACGTAACAATGTGAATAACTTCTCTCGGAAATAAAACCATAAGAAAAGGGGGAGAGCAGTTTTTATCCATGTATGTTATATGAATCAATGTTTTCATGACTGGAGGATCCAGGTGATCCTGTAATTTGAGAGTTAGGATGCAGAGATGCATTCTTTTCAGTGATTATTTTGATATTTTGTTGCAACTGAAATTTGGTTACTGCACTCCATAGTTCCAGCCTGGGTCGTGGCTCAGCTGTGACTTTGTCAGATCTCCTCCTTGTGTACAGGCAGTGGAGCTGGATCATAGTGATACCCTGAGGTTTCCTCTGGAGAATCTGGTTGGGTTTTCTTTTGCCCTACATTTTCTGTAGTTCAGTGGGGTTTTTCTTGGTTTGCTTTATTTTAACCTTGGCCAGAATTGCTGCAGTGGTAGCTGTTGCCTGGTTCTCACTGGATGCCTCATCCAGGCAGGGAAGCCTCATCCAGGTGTTTCTATTTTCAGCTGCCCTAGCAGGATTTTAGGAGCTTTTCAACCAGCAGAATGAGTTTTGTGATCAGAGAATCACAGAATGGTTTGGGTTGGAAGGGACATTTAAATATCATCTAGTCCAACCCCCTACCATAGGCAGGGAAAATTTGTTTTCTTCTTAAGTGATGCTGCAGAGGCAGAGAAACTGTGATCTTATCACAGAGATATGTAAGATATTTTCTCTGCCTGTGTTTAATGATAGCTTATTTGTGGTGAGCAATTAATTCGCTTGTAAGGTAGAAAGATAAAAAAATAATTCCTCTAGGGTTGCTGAGTTGAAGGAGATGGGAGAAGAGCTCTGTGCTTCCTCTCTTCCTTTTTAGCATTGAATTAGAGAAGTTTTCATGGTTTAAGAGAGAAGGATAGCATGGAAGCCTTCCTTTGTGCCACACAGAAATTAGCCAACATTTGTCTTTTGAAACCACGCACTTTGCGTTTTTCCATTTTATATACACTTTTTCTGGTACTGTTCATGGGTAAGTTACAGTTACAGAAGGAGCTGGGAGAATGTGGGTTGATGAGCTTTAGTACACGATAGGTAAATCTGATACAGTAAGTATGCTTTCTCTGTCGCATTTGTGTTCTGCAGGTGAATGACAGTTTTCTTTGGCTTTTCCTTCCATGCGCTAACTCATTTTCAAAGAAGTGTGCAGAAATTGTAAAGAAAGTTGGTTTGGTTTTTATTTGCGTATGCACGCACAAGGGCACACATTGTAAGTGCCATTTTGCTTGTATGATGCATATTTGCCCCTAATAGGGGTTTTTGCTTTTCCATTTCTTTTTATATGTATGTGTATGTTTCCTTCGTCTGTACTGCATTTCATGTTTGGGATTCTTGGTTTTACATTATGGCAGTTATATAAAGCTAATATAAAAAAGCTTATAGTGCATGAGGCTCAGGCACTGTTTATATGCCAAGTTTCCTGAAGTTACTATTAAAATCTAGACAGTTGCCACAAACCTTTTCATGGATAGCTTTGGTGGAAATCACTTTCATATCCAGTTCTTTTACTAACTGGATATTAAAATTTTGCACTGTACTGTCAAAAGGCAGAGGGACAGTTTTTGTCTCCAGAACAAAAAATGTTCCTTATTACTTTAAAAGAAAGAGTGATAGTGCCTATTTACCCATGTATTATTCCTTGATCCTCTTTAGCATAAAATAAAATAAAAAAATTAATCCAACTTTAGGATGGTGTCTAAGAATAGTCACTTAGATACATTTTGTTCAGCAGTTTAAACAATTAACAATTTTTGCCTTATTCTGTTTATTCTTTCAGGGCATTCTACCTGGACAAGTCAAACTTGCCTCCAAATTCAACATCTAAAGCAGCTTATATAGATAAGGTAAATAAAAACGTTAAGTACCTAATTAAACTTTGCATGTTACACACTGTGTTATTGTAATCCTTTCCTGAGGCTTTCCTAATTCCATCAAAAAAAAGAATTATTTAAAGCTGGGGCAGGGAGAGGAGGAACTCTCTTGCAGCATTTTGTCCCACCTGTGTTTTAGGGGTATGTGGTGCCATTTGGTTCTGTATCTAAAGCTGTGGCTGGAGGGCATCAATGTTTTTGAGAAGAGGAACTGTAGCTTTCCGAGCAGTGCAATTCCTCCAGGAGGATGTGGGGGGTGGAAGGGTAGGGTAGGGGGAGAGCAGGTGCAGGCAGAAATTCTTTGTTCCGAAAACTGGAAGCGCTGTTCCAAATTAAATACTCCTTCAGCATCCTGCTCAGAAGGCTTTCTTCTGAACCTCCTCATTTGGGCTTTCTTCAAATGCCTTCATCTCTCTTTAAACCTCTGTGACTGAAAGATTTCGGGGGCTATGAAAATGCATTTAATGCTCTGTGCCATTGTTGGAGAGCTAATGCCCATATTGCAGCCCAGTAGCGGGGAAACAAGAAGTTGTTCCGGTCTTGCCCACACTGACTTCAGAAGCGATTCAGCTGCTGTGCCTTGAGAAATACCGTGGTCATCAGCTGAGCCCTGTGACAGACTAAAATTTTATGTCAGTATCATCCAGCATGGGTGATAACAGACTGATAGTTCCTGTTCCTTGGATGCATGCTGGACTGCGTGGGAGGGAAGGAGGACATGTGCCTTGTGCCTCTCCTTCCCTGCTGAGTCAGCAACGGAGCTTTCTAAGCAGCCACAGATGCAGCAGGAGACATGTAGCTTTAGGTGGAGTGCTTGTTACCCCTAAACCTGTTCCCTGTCTATTTCAGTGAAAAGTTCAAGGGCAAGATAAAAGTGCCTCTTAATCCAGACCTGACCAAGGGATGATAGGTTAAGCTAATGCATTTATTTTGCAATTGGAACAGGCTGAGAGTGCATGATCTGTTTGTGGCTGTGCTTTTTGCTCTATTCTCCGTAGCTCTGTGTTAGTAAATGGCACCAGCTAAAATTAATTTAAATGGGTGCAAGATAAACCAATAGGATCTAAACAAAGTTAAATCTGTTTGTGCCCAGGTTTAAATATGCTGGGTGTTATAATTGATTTACTTGACCTCTGTGCTTTCCAATGAAGTAATTTTCATATAGGAGCAAGTGAGGCTGCCATTTCCCTAATTAGTTAAAACTGTCTTTAGGAAACGAACGTGTGTTTCAAAGGGTTTGTTCTTTGATTAGGGCTGGGGAGGTGGGGGGGAGGGAGGGAGTTGGAATCTTTAAGTGTTTCTGGAATAAAGAGAATAGGGAATTTGGAATTATGAGATCTGCAAAACTGTCTTGTGAACATCTCCTTTACACAAAGCACCATGAGATGATGTCTTTTGTTGCTAGACCACTCTTGAAGGTTCCTCTTCTGAGAGCAGCCTTCCACTTGAAGCTACCTTCTTTACTGTGTGTAGCATTTCATTTTCTCTACGGTATTGCTGAGGTTATTGTAAGTCCCACTACAAAGTTAACTGTTCTTGTTTTGTAGTATGTTTTTATCACTTGTGTTCACTTTTATTTTTCCCTGTTGTTAGCCAGGATTAGGAAATAGACATTTGCATAAATGAAGGACAAAGTTTTAATTATAAGTTGATTTTCTCAGCAAGTCAGTTAACCAGTTTTGGCATCCCTCCTGTATAGGCGTACGGTTGTAGGTTGCCTCTTCATGGCTTCCCTTTGTCAATACCATTAATGGAAATGGCACTGATGGTTCTATTCAGTCTATTGCAGTGAAAACACTTCTGTAGACAGGACTGATAATGAAACAGTCAGTGACAGTAAGAATTTAAAAGTTTGAAAAAGTTGTCATAGGTCATGTATCAGAAGACTGTGTCCTCTGTATTTATGGTGTGGAATTCGGCTTCGGCTTTCTCAGCCAGCCCTCCTGTTCCATCTGCATCTGTGATGACCTGCTCTAAAAGAGCATTTCATGTGCTCTCACTAGCAAATATTTAAATCTATCTCTCTCTCTCTTCTTCTCTTGCAGCTGATGAGGCCTCTCAATTGCTTGGATGAACTTTACCGACTGATAGGGTCCTTTATCCGATCCAAGCGCACGGCTGCCTGTGCATACACTGCGTGCAGTGCTTCTGGAGTTGGATTGCTTTCAGTGTCTTCGGAACTCTGTAGCAGGCTTGGAGCTTGTCACATCATTATGTGCAACAGTGGAGTTCACCGGTATGACAGTTTCTTTTCCTCCCTTTGTTTTAGTCAGTCATTCAGTCATTGCAGGATGGAGATTGCGGCTTTTTTATTTATAGAGGTCTTACAATAAATATCTAACATCTTAAACGAAATACCTAACGCACTTGAAAGATTGGTGGTGAAATTCTAGAAAGGCATTTTCAGTGATTGACAGAAATGAGCAGTATGATTTTGTTTTGTGCACTTGTAATTGATTGTTCCTTATTCAAGTCAGAAAAAGGCAGAAATCTTAATCGCTAAAGTAGAAAAAGGATGGTTTCCTAGGTGAATAACACATACTGTATTAAACTCTTAATACAGGCAAGAAATGCTGAAATTTGTATTTGCTTTGTAAGCTATGGGTAATTGTAATAGAGCTTGTTTCAAGGGGAAAAAAGGAAACAGAAGAGATCCACGTTTTTGCAGGTGTGCCTTATGATAACTAGAAGTTTGGCCTGTAAAACAGTTGGTGTCATTAATACAATATCGAAAAATGAACTGAGGTGTAATCAACTGATCTTTGTCATCAACAGTAATTTTAATAGACATAGGTATATATGAAAATAGGGTCATTGTAGAACTCTCTAGTACTTAATGATATTCATCAAAGGCAGAAATATGTTTATGTTCCAGCTGGCCAGATTACAATTTTTTTGTACGTTATAGCAAAAAAAGCAGACTACAATTGGAGAGGGAAGAAAAAATCCCAACAAACAAAAAAACCAAACAGCCAAGAATCTGATGCTAAATATCGTCTCTTTTTATAAGAATTCTAAACTGTAGATTACAGGTAGCAATGTTAAAAATAATATTCCTTAGCTTCTGATCTATGAAAATCCATATTTTAGCAGACTTGGTTAACAGTACATTGTGTTAGAATGAGCATTACTTTCTTCTCATTTTAAGTAATGTTCTTTCTTTAAAAGAGCTTTGAGGAGGAAGCAAAAAAACAAAAAAACCATCATAATCTGCATTGCAGCTATCAGGCATAAAAAACAGGAAAAGCTCCATATATAGCCACCACAATTAAGCTGTATAAAAACAATGTTTGCCCTTTTTTTTAAAAGAGTTTGCAGCAGACTATTTATATTGTTCTCTATCAATGATACAAGTATATATAGCATGCTGTATACTGCACTTGATTTTAGGCAATAACAGAAAAAGGCTGTATTATTTAACACTAGTCACTATATCAAATGAAGATGGAAATACTATGTAGCATGGACTGACATGAAGTTGTCATTTCAGAAGACCATGAAGCTATACAGCTTTTCTCTGGCTCTTTATCAAGGTTTCAGTTTCATGTCTTATGTGCTCAGAAAAGACTTTGGGGTTAATTCTGCCAATTTTTTATAAAGCTGAAAAAGACTACCTCTGGGTTTCATTATGATTTCATGGATTCAAGTTCTATTCAATAAACTATTCATCAAATTTCTGCTCAAAACTCGGACTAAGTCAAAGGTATAAACTATTAAATGTCTATTTAAGTATATTTTAAAACCACAAAAGATTAGAAAACCCATATATTGGATTTCAAGACTATATTATGAACAAAGGGAATGGGGTTTAAATGTGTTGTGTGAGTTTCCATCTAGATGTTAAAGGATTCAAGATCACTTATATAAAGATGCAAAACGCTTTTCTCTAAAGTGTGACTAGTTCTCCTTTACAGCGAGTCCATTTGAGCTTTTGTACAAGACGCTGTTACTTCACTTGTGCATTAATACTGCCTTCGTGGCTACCATCTGTTCAGAGAAAGAAACATCAACTCTTGGCATTATCAGAGATGCTTTAAGATAGGCCCTCCAGGAAAAAGGAATGCATTACTTGAGATTTTATAGGTACTCAAAGGCGTTTTGCCCTGAATTTCCAAAAGTTCAGAGCAAAACTCATGTATTTAGAGACTAGAAGGGATTCTTCTGCTATTATTTTTTGAAGTGGTAAAAGTTGAGGAAGTTTTTTTAACAACAGTTTTCTGAAGTTAATGTTGTGCATACAAACTGGATGGATGAAGAAGTTTTTCCTTAGAATTCAAAGTCATATAAAGTCACTTTATGTGCTTTTTTCTCTTTCCAGCCTCCTTAGGCCACATCTCTACAGTCCAGCACTAAGTAGGCTCTGCTTTTTGGCATTCTGAAATTGCCTTTGCCCAGATGGAAAGCTTGTTTTGTCTCTGGCTAGTAGGTTTGCTGGGTGAATTTTGTTCCCAACATTTCTACTGCTAAATTCTGCTGTGTTTCTGTGAACCTACTGCCCTTGCAGCACCATGAAATCCTGTGAGGAGAACAGAAGAGAGAAGAATAAGATGCTGGATGTGATCAAGTCTTGTAGACATAGATGATTTTGCATGTTGCCTGCAGTCTTGAAGGGTTAATTCTTCTGTCTGTTGGAATAATATTTAATCAGGGCAGATAATCTTGCAAAATAACGCTCTTTAATTTGTAAGTTAGTTCTTTAGAGGTCAAACTACTGATTTGCACTAAGAAAGGATATTTCTCTCTGGTTGTATTCAGCAGTGTGTCTCGTCTTCTGTGTTCTTAGAAACTAAGTGCTGTGAAGTGCTTGATTGCGATCAGTTGCGGAAATCCACATTTTGTAGGCCCAGACCAAGGACTTACAACTGTTTTTTAACACTGTGCTACAGATACTAAATGAGTTGAAAGCTGCAATTATCTACAGATGCTACTAGGCAAGCAGATGGGGGAAAGATGGGAATTGTCCTTGCAGGTTAAACGTTGAAAGTATATTCTTCACTTATTAGTCTTGCCAGCTTAAAAATGAAAAATAATCAACTCAGAGGAAGGTCCCTGTATGCTTTCTTTCAAAAAAAAAAAACCCACAAACCCTCGTTTTAGCCTAATTTCTATGATTGGTCTCTAATGAGAGAGAATTTCTGAGAGGGTGTGGAAGAGTACAGGGTGCTCTGCTGGTGAGCAGCTTTCTTTTGTTCATGGGGAGTAGGAACTGAGCAAACCATTAATCTGTCAGAATTTAGATATATTTAATAGACTTTAAACAAAATGTATATGAACCTTCCCTCACTCAATTTATCTGTCTCAAAATGAACTGGCTGGAGAGCCCTTTCTATGTTTTCTCAACTTAAGCATCATGGATTGACAGGGGGTGGTGGTGATGGGGTGACTGCCACCCCTTCTTCTAACGAGAAGCAAATCCCAGATAGCTTGGGAGGGAGGTGCTGGGTGACAGTCCAATGCAGAAGAGGCCAAGAACTATGAAACAGCAGCTTTGTCTGCTTTGACAGTGATTGCTGATCTCTGGATCAGCAGTGTCTTGGTTTCTGACTTCTCTGTGATCCATATTAAATTGCTTTTTACACTGCACTAGGCTAAAACAGCTTGACAGAGTTCATATTTTCATCCCTATATCCAAGATAATGCTGGGGATTTTGAATTGCTGGTGATTGCTTTGCTTTGATTTTTATTATGACAATATGTTTACCAATTTAAATTAGAGCCTTAAATCCTATATCTATTTCAGACAGCAGTTCTTTTCAAATATATTTCGATCACTAGAAAAACAAGGATGGGGAAAAATAAGTCCCTTTAACCTTCACTGTCCTAAGTGACATGTGAATACTACAAACTCTCCTTGGATTATCATAAGCGAACACGCCTTCTTGATCAACATCAGGAACAGAGCTCTAAATTAGTCCAAGAAATCAATAGTTTGCATTTCTATTTTCTCTTTTTTGTCATCCATAATGATATTTCTGTCTGCCAATCAGCTGTCACCCTGTAAACAATGCTCTGCTTGCTTTACTTGTATTCGTTCTGTTTGAAGTTGCAATCACTCTGTACAAATATAGGTGATGAAAGGCACTTTTAAATTTTATTGAATCATGATGCTAGCTCCTGCTTGAGGGAGAAGAGCGAGGCTGCGCTGCACAGACATGTCCTAGCCTCTTTCCATGCCAAAATGAAATTAGGTGCAGCAGCTGCAGAAGTCTATTCAGGGACCATAGGCCTTACAGGCTCAAAGGAATCATTTAAAGCATCCAAATGAAACAAATGCCAAGTTTATTTAAAATTTTGCATTTCCTGGAGGACTGAGAGAAAAGAAGTCTTTTGTAATCTTGATGAACCCCAGAAAAATCACCGTCTTATTTTCTTTTCTGAATTTTAATTTCCCCTCCAGAAAGTCTCTCCTTAGTGTTACCATCCTTCAAGCAGTGGGGTTCTGGCTGGCAGACACTCGGCTGAATGATGAGGCAGGTTTTGCCAAGGGTTGATTATGCTGTCTCCTGTAGCTGGCACAGCTCCTGCAATCCAGCGAAACCTGCTCCATCTTCCACATAGCCAAGCAGAGTAACACCATAAGCTGTCCATCACGGCCAACTGCCTTTCTGTGAATCAAATGAAACAAGGTGAAACATAGGTACTCTGAATTTATATTTTAGACGTTCTATTGCAAGAATTCTTCGGTTTAGATTATTTTAGAAATTTTCTGTAGGAATTGAGTTCTGACCTCAATGACTGTGTGCTACCAAAAAAAAAAAAAAAGTCCCCTTGAAGTTTTGCAGCTGTACTTAGGCTATTAGCTCCACAGTAAGAAGGTTTTCTGGGATCGATGGGACTACTTTGAGGAGGAGGTCAGCACAGACTGAAAAACTAATCCTTGCTCTTCTCCATCCTTCTGGTCTCAATTGCGCTTTTACTCCCACTACCTTCCCACTTAGTCAAGTTTCCCTTCTTTTTTTAAATAGCAGTTTTGCTATGCCTGTCTACAGTTAGTGTATTTTTGTGTTATGTTACCTGCTGAGGCATAGAAAAACTTTTGTTATGTTAAAATAATTTAGGATAGCAGAGTATTTCATTCTGTGCTGGTTACTATTTGAAAACAGTTATGTAATTGTTAAATATGCAAAAATGTGTCCTAAGATGATGTAAACAGGACATTTAGTACAAATAGGTTGTTTCTACAGTGATGATAATTGTATTTTGTTCTGTATTCACCTTTCATGGGCAACCTGGTAC